CAACCACAACGTCAAATCTCAGTACATTTTTATAATAATATGGTTATCTTTTTATCCCAACAGTATTCTGGTGGGTTTTGAGTTTTGAAAAGCTGGAACATTGTTAGGTCAACCGGCAATTCTTTATGTTTCGATCATCCATAGACCTGTATCATGATATCCAAGATTGAGCTCTCTGATGCAGTTCCTGTTCATTGTGGAGTGAGCCACAATTTGGCTTTATTTGGAACCAAGTGAAGATAAAGGAAGGGAATGTTGCACACTGACTCGGTTATAAAAAGGCTGCTGTTTGTCTTCGTGGTGCACACTAGTGCAGTGAAGTTTTTATAGAGAGCAAAGAACGGCGACCATGACAGTGTCCGATCTAGGATATCATTATACAAGTCTATGGGATCATTGCAATGTGTGTCTATACAATAGGGACTCACGAACCAGTGGACTCACTGTAAAAATGACACGTGGTTATAGAACAATCGAAATGCGTGCGGCCATCCATATATAACACGGAGAAAGAAAGTTGAGAAACTTTGAAATTGAAACGGTTTTAGTTGTTTTTTTTAAATTTAAAAAGCCACTAAAGGCATCTTTGAATAGCAACCTTCAGGCAACTGATTTCCGTATCAAAGTTTATATATTATTATTATTATTCGTTTGCCTCTTTTGTTTATTTTTGGTTTTTATCGTTCATGTGAACCAGAATCGCCATGCTGCTAAGGGCAAAAGGCTTTCATAAAACATGAACGAGAAATGACGTATTCAGAAGCATGATCAGGAGCGAATGATTCAATGAAATGTAAATAAATTAGCCCAACTGAAGGAAATTTAAACGAAATGCAAATAAAATACAAATTTAATGGTTGATGGAATGAACATTAGTTTTGGAAACTATGTCAGACTTACTAAATTAGTACCGGGTATGAAGAAAGAATCAAATTATGAATTATGCCCCTTGAATTATTTTCTCAACAGACTTAATTTCCTGTGTAAGTTGTAGGATACTGTTAATCGTGTTAACACCAAGATGGCCGCACATTGTGTGAAAAAGCTTGAGGGTTATGGATCCAAGAAACAAAAAAAAAATGAAGGAAGAAACAAAACAAAACGAAACAAAACCGATCCCCGAGAGGTGTCGTGCATTTACCTGCGGGCCCTGGCGGTCCTTGAGGGCCTGGTATGCCGTGCAGGCCTATGTAGCCGCGGTCACCAGGCGGCCCGGGGGGACCTCTGTCTCCTGACCGACAACATGGAGGAGGCGAGGAGGGAAGGAGGAGAGAACGGCAGAGAGAAACAACAGTTATTATCGTACGAGGAAGGTGAAGGAATGGAATGGCGTACAGAAACGTGCAAAGCTCGAAGTGTGGAGACGTGGAGAGTAAAAGTAAATCTGGGCCTGCCATTTAAAACTTACTTGACCTACTTATTAGTACATTCGAGGTCTCCGCGCACTCTCTCAGTGACGCAAATTTAAGTCGCCATGACGTTATTTACGAAAGGCGCTTTCAAAATACTTATTAAAAATGGTGGATCAAAATTTACTTTTACCACAGTATGTGGGAACGAACATGAGGTATAAAGAAATAATAAAAGTACAATATTGTTACGGAAATGGAACAGGATGGAGATTTGAGATGGAAAAGGCAAAAAAGAAACTGCACACCATCATGAAAAGACTCAGATATGATATGTAGTTTCGAAATGAACCCCGCGCCCCCCAATATCCATCCCTACCCCCACTAGGAAAATGAAAGAGACCCACACAAAACAAAACAATGTCAAACAGCTACTAACACTCTACAGCACATCATGGAAACATATAAGCAACCCATTCTTTTTCTTTATGTAGAAAAGTACCTATCCTCTTTGCCATTTTGCTTCATATATTTCACCCCCCTCCCTTTTCGTATACACGATTTCACTCTGAAAATTGAGTAAAAATCGTTGTTTTTAATTAAACTTAAACCCCAAAAATCACTGAAGGACTTAGGATTTTAATTAAAACAGTCCCACAGCCCCGATTCTATTCAACTATTTTCAGTGGGACCGTTTTAAATGGAAGAAGACGAAACATGAAACAGCGTAGCTATGTATGTATGAAAGTGTAAGCTACATGGGAGGATTGATAGATGAGGGAGGTGATTCATCGATCAAAAAGTAATCAGTCACATTAAAAGGAGGCACAACATTAAAATACGGTACATAAATGAATTTATCAGTGATGGTTAATAGATCATTCATGGAGGAAAACAATGAATTAACGTGTTAATATTATCAATTATTACTATTAAAACTACTCTTCCTCCGTGACATGAATGTGAAGATAATTAATTAATGAGCCTATATACCTTCATGTAGGCCTATCACTATAACAGATCTACTGCAAAATAAGTGATTTTACAAAAGTAACTTGCATTCATTCATTTATCAAATAGCTCCAAATAATGAAAGAAGCTATTTTAAATAATTATTTGATTCTAAACTGAAAGCTAGGTGTATATCTTTAAGTCTAAATTCGATCATCTAAACATAATAAAACCCTCTAAAACTGGAAGAGTACGCAAAATTGGTACGAAAAATAATATAAACAGGTTTATATTTGAGCAAATAAAGTATATTTAAGTACCGTACATTTCGTAGGCTATACTAAATTATCCAAGACGAGGCAATGACTTATCACTAATATATTATTTTTAAAATACTTAATCTGTAAAAGAAACAACTTTGTTTTCCTTATTAAAAAAAAACGAAGAAAAGAACAACAAAGGTATTATAAAGCGCAAAAGAAGAAGAATCAAGACTCGGTGCACTGAGAGAGAAACAATAAGAATTGAATACAAAGGTAAAGTATTGGGTATAATACACAAAGAAACTAAACCCAATACTTTGCTTGTCAAGAAAAGTGAAACGAGGTATAATATAAGAAATCGACACCATGGAACGATTTGAAATTTTAGAAAAGAATAGGAACGAAAATTCACCGAATAAATGGTTTAAACTTTAACTTTAAACGGAATGTTGAAGTTGAAAACTGAAGTGATTGTACACTTTTGAGAAAAGAGGCTATACAGACCTGGGGGGGGGGGGGGGGAGAGAGGGGTGGAAGGCAGATGAAGGTGCTATTTTAATCAAACCTAATAGGCTTAAAATAAAAAGAGATCTGAAACTAATTTCTAATTTTTGTTCCATGCCCCTGTATTCCTTTCTCACCAACAAATAAAAACTTATATGACCTTATTGTGTTGCAAGTGCCGTAAAACTCTTACTAAAACAAACTAACTAGCAGATACGCCTATTTCAATCGCATAAAGACTGCAATTAATTAAGGCACTTACCTGGGGTTCCGGGCGGTCCGGGCCGGCCGTTCTTTCCTGGTCGACCCCTCCCTGGCGGGCCGGGGGGTCCTATGAGACCGGACGTTAGCTCCTCCAGCTCCTCTGTAACAAAGTGGTAAGCATCGCGGTGAAATCAGGCGCTCGTCAATATAATGAAATAGAAGAAACGTCACTTTCCCGCCGGTTTGGGAGTTTTTATCTATTATAATTTGTTTTCCCCACATAACACCTTATGTAGATCTATATCTGAGAACACATTTCTGTTTGAAAATTACTGAAAAATAATAAATAATAATAAAAGACTTCTATTAAAAAAAAAAAATCTAGATGAAGAGCGAGAGAGAGCGAGAGAGAGCGAGAGAGAGAGCGAGAGAGAGCGAGAGAGAGCGAGAGAGAGCGAGAGAGAGAGCGAGAGAGAGCGAGAGAGAGAGAGAGAGAGAGAGAGAGAGAGAGAGAGAGAGAGAGAGAGAGAGGGAGAGAGGAGGGGGGGGGGGAGAAATAATGCAACGTTGGTTAAAGGCACATTAAAGGTAAAATTGTTAGTTTCCAAGGACCCTCAAGCTATGGAAATCACCATACTTTGGCGGCCATTTTCTCGCTAATTTTACTTTTGAGATCAGGCTACCATCACCTCCTCCAACCGCATATATATATATATATCTTGACTTCTACTCAGGACAGATGGGTATTATTTCATCGAAAGCAAGACAAATGAACGAGCTTGAAGATGATAACAATAACTCCACGTGCCCAAAAATTGACGAGGGCCTGATTCCACCACGTCGGAACACAAACCATACGTGTAACAGCGTGGTGAAATCAAGCGATCTTCAAAATAATGAAATCAAAGAAACCAACATTTTCCGCACGTTTGGCAATTTTTATTGATTCTTTTTTGTGTGCGTGTGTGGTTCAGCACCTTTTATATCTATTCAAAAAACACACTTCTGTGTGGATCGTGCTGAAAAACGTTGATTAAAGGCACAAGAAAATGTACACTTGCAGTTTCCAAGGACAACGAAGCTTTGTGAGTTCATTTTCTTGTTAATTTTACCCCTGACACCGAACGTTACCCATCCCATTCAAGAGCAAATAATATATAGCTTTTTTGAGATGAATGAGTATCTTTTTTCACCGAAAGCAAGACAAATCCACAGGCTTCAAGATAAGATCAACAACTCCATATTTCTAAAAGTAAACAAATATTTAAGGTAATATAACATCTTATAATATTTTAAACAGTAAACTGTAAGGAGCATACCAGATGCCCAAAATTCAATCGATGTAAACGTGTGGACAACTTTTACAGTACATAAAGATGGAATTCAAGACTATACTAGAAATAACATCAGTATTGGATTCTAATCAGGTGCAATTTCTGATAACTAGAATCCCAGTATGAAATTCAAGTACGTATGTTTTGTGGGGTAACAAAAACAAGCAGGTACTTAAAAACACACATTCGCAGAACTACATACAAGTGTGAATATATTATATCTGAGGAGAGAAAGGCCTTCCATTCCCTCTCCTTATGCCCAAACCTCACTTCCCTTATCTGTCTGTCTGTCTGTCTGTCTGTCTGTCTGTCTGTCTGTCTGTCTGTCTGTCT